GTATGCTTGGCAGAGTGATTCCGACTGAACCATTTATACATGTATGCTTGGCAGAGTGATTCCGACTGAACCATTTATACATTTTTAATCCTAGTATATTCATACACGAATATTGATATTTTCCACTACTAGGACCTGCAGGACCCTCCAACTCCCCCATACGGTTAGCAGTCTTTTTAAAATGGCTTTCAATTCATGTACCTACTATCATACTTAAGTGTCTGCTGGGGACCAAGTTATAGCTGTTGGAGTGAGTTGACCCTTAGTTAACTCTCTACATATATTTTGTATGGTGCGTCAATTTTGGGTCATCTAATTACTGTGTAATGACTACTTTGACTAAGCAATTTGCATATGTTTGAGGCCAAAATTGTCAGTTGAGCACGTGCACAAAACTATTTGGTCAGGATTAAAATTCAACACTAGTACCAAGCATGTGCATCTTCTTGTACATTTTAGTCAAAGTAGTCACTACACGCAAAAATAAGGGCCTGGAATCTATGACTGGTGCATACATTTGCTAGCCAAGCCTACTAGTACTATACAATATTGCTGTTGATAGATAAGAACCAAATTACTACTAGTAGAACTACTACTGGGAAAGTAGTGGGCAAAACAGAGGAAGGACAGACTGTTTGAATTTTTTAGGGACTGGACTGTTTCCACAAATTGGAYGGAGGACACCAGATTATTCTACTAGAATTACACCAGTACATGTGAAGTTTGAAATTCAGAGAGTGATTGGAAGTGTTCCTGTGTATGGGGTCTTTCAAGTGCATTTTTGGTTCTTGCAGTATTAGTAGTGCTTAGCATGCAGTAAAATAATTCTACTACTTCAGTAATTGAGAAAAATTGCAAGAACTACTAGTACAAATGGAACATGAGTTTTTCTGTTGTTGATGGGAAAAAATCCATTGTACACCCCTCTAAATTAGTATGACCCCTGTTCGTAGTAGATACCATTTTTCATACTGTATGGTTCGTCTTGTGACAGGGTTCTTCGTTATTTGTTGACCCCTGGTTTTATGACCACCCATGCCTTACCTCCTCCTAGAAATGGATTGTAGTAAGTCTGAAAAATGCATCAGGTCTCATGGCCAGACTGAAGGCGACATTTGTCTAGAAATTAAAAAAAAAAAAAAAATCTTAATATTATATTTAACCTCGTGAACTAGAAGAGGCACTATATGGCCAGAACCATAGCTTTCATTAGAAAGAATGCTTCCAGATGCTCCGAGGGGCGGCGCCTCCCTCCGAGGAGGTTTTGTGGAGGCGCGACCAAGTTTCATGCACACTGATAGGCCAAAGGCTGAACTCAGAGGACACAAAAGCAGGTGGTTCACAGTTTGGATGGATGAGAACCATGCCAATATCATTTCAAAAGTCACTGCCAAGCCTGTAGGTTAGGGGTGCTCAATCCCCAACCTGTAGGCCAGCAYTGATGCAGTGATCAAGGAAATTTGTGCCAAGCACACTGCCAAGCCAAGTAAGGCAAGACTTCCCACCACAGTGGGCGAGGACACATGGAGTCAAAAAGAAAAAAATCAAAAAAAGAAAAGCCAAAAAGAAAAAGAAAAAAGGAAACGTCACACTTCTTTCACCAAATTGAAGCTGCTCCCACMCAAAGAAGCAGCTGTGTGAGTATCTTCTGGAAGAAGAAACTGATAATAATTCCAATAACCCTKATACCCCTGGTCAGGAGGTCAAATACTGGGGGTGTTGCTAGTTCTGTCCCTAACAAAGGACAGGAACAGCAACAATCGTGGGGGTGTTGCTGTTGCTTTCCGGCGCGGAGGTCGGAAACAACAGCAATCATGACCGGAAAGCACTGGGACTTCCGGTCCTTGAGAACTGGGGATGGTGGATCCAGCTGAGGCAAAGCAGCTGGAGTAACTGGGGTTGGTGACATTGCATTCCGGCACGAATGTYGGAACCAACAACAACTTGACCGGAAAGTTTGTCCGGTCCGTAAAATACTGGAACTGATACTAGAACTGCATGGAGATGCTGGGGAATCTTCTTTACAAACTGAGTATGATGTAGCATATACTCCAAGYGTTGTTCTTCAAMGGAATAGTCTTGGTTGAATACTGGGGGCTGGGGTTGGTGTTGTTGCATTCTGGCACGAATGCCGGAAACAACAACAATCGTGACCGGGAAACACTGCTGTTGAAAACTGTTGGTGCTTCCKGTCCTTTAGAACTGGGGATGGAGCCAGCTGAGACAATGGTACTCAACTGGGGGGATTAGGACTGGAGATGGTGTTATTGCTTTCCTGCACGGATGCCGGAAACAATAACAACAACAACAACGTCGTGACCGGAATCTTCTTCCGGTCTGTAAAATAATGGAACTGCAAGGAGATGCTGGGAAATCTTCTGTAAACACTGAGTATGATGTAGCATAAACTCCAGGCGTTGTTCTTCAAAGGAGTAGTCTTGGTTGAATACTGGGGGATGGGGTTGGTGTTATTGCTTTCCGGCACGGATGCCGGAAACAATAACAACAACGTCGTGACCGGAATCTTCGTCTGGTCCGTAAAATACTGGAAATGGAACTGCATGGAGATGCTGGGGGATCTTCTTTAAACTGAGTATGAGATAGCATATACTCCAGGCCTGTTCTTCACAAGGTCTTGGTTGAATACTGGKGGCTGGGGTTGGTGTTGTTGCTTTCCGACACGAATGCCGGAAACAATAACAACAACGTCATGAAYGGAATCTTCATCCGGTCCAGAAATACTGGAACTGCATGGAGATGCTGGGGAGTCTTCCTTGAAACTGAGTATGATGTAGCATATACTCGCGAGGTCTTGGTTGAATACTGGGGGATGGGGTTGGTGTTATTGCTTTCCGACAYGAATGCCGGAAACAATAACAACAACGTCGTGACCGGAATCTTCTTCCGGTCCGTAAATTACTGGAACTGCATGGAGATGCTGGGGAATCTTCTTGAAACTGAGTATGATGTATGATAAAGCATATACTCCAGGCTTGTTCTTCGCTATGATGTCTTGGCTGAATACTGGGGGCTGGGGTTGGTGTTGTTGCATTCCGGCACGAATGCCGGAGACAACACTTCCGGAGGAACAGGATATGAATCCAGCTGGGGCAAACTATCACCAGCTGGGGGATATCGATATACTGGGATATYGATATACTTGGAATAGGCTTGGTTACATTGCTTGGATCCTTGTTGAATGGAGCCAAGGAGGAGGATTCTCCCCTTCAGAAGGGGATGTCACCATGGTGGATTCGGAAGCCAGAAGGAACGTGTCAGGTAGGAATGTACGTAGGAATCAGGAGGAATCAGTAGGAAATCTAGGGGATAATTTTCATAAGCGAAGTGTAATTTCGTGCGTTTGAAAATATTCGATGTGAAAATTATATTTGTCTAGAAATTAATCGTACGTAAGTACAACCACTTCGTACAGAAGTACGTAATATTCTTACTTAATGCGATCGACGATTACTTCATATGTTGTGAATTTGTGGAATGACATATTCATTGCGTGGTCTTTATCAAAATCGTAAGCTTTGATAATGAATTGTTGAAGTTCGACTCTTGGATACTACAGTAGTGATGAGACGAGAATGAATCCAATTAGGCAATGCAATGCATGGAAGAAATGTGGGATTAAATATCAATTTTTGAAACCGTATCGAGTGAAGTTTCTTAATCAACCAAATTTTATGGCTGCATATGGCTTCGTATTTACTTCTATTATATATATTCGGGACAGGTTTTCAATGTGTGAGAAAGAATTACTTAATGCATTTTGTATATCTTGTTTATTAATTATTGAACACTTTTTTGTATGGCAACGGTTCTGGGGCATAACTCAAAACTTGRTCGTCGAAAAAATCTTTCAAATACTTCGACCTMTGRTAAGTTACAGTTACAATTTTATGGTGCGAAACCGCTGAATTTTTTTTTTCCAATTATTCAATGCTGACGCTCCATTTGAGTTCCATTTTTCAATTAAGCATTTCAAAATCGATATTTATTCCGAAATTGGAAAGGAACATCATAGAGTACTACGCTCCAAGGCCATCGAACAAAACTATACAGAGCAGCAAAATTTACTTTTGACCGGCGTTTAATAAAGGCACGTCTCGATACGAAAAGACTTAGACTGGGGTTTGCTTCTTGCGCTTGATTAATTTGACGAGAGCCTTACAGTATTTGTTCCGTGTTACTTTAAGAAACATTCAACGAATTAAGCATCACAGCTCAGTGAAACATCATAATTTCTTTCTGCATTTGCCTTCACCACTTTCTTAAAACTTGTTCCATTGGAAAGTTGAGGACACATTCCAACCTCGTGCCATACATCATGACACCCCAACAAACAAATAGCGCTTCCTCTAATGCTATCGATGTAATGAAACACATGGTAGAAAAAGAATCAAACGAAAGCCAGGAACAATTATCATCGCCACCACCAGCTTCCGAAGAACTCAAGACTTTCGACTCCGAGACTACGGGAACTGTCAGGAACGTCACTAGTAAAAGCCTCGCCTATTCATCTGCTAGCAGGAACCACATCCGTCTCAAGATGTCCGGCAACAGCACTGGCCTCCCAGTCGGCCTTCGTTCTGCGAAGATGCCTTCGCTCTTGCAACGATTGCCTTGCTTTTCAAGCGGCGGTCCCAAGAGTCCGTCTGCATCATCCGGCTCTTTCGCGTCCGCAATCACCGATTCCGCTCTGAGTGTGATCGAGAAAGTTGACGACGAGAGCTCGAAGGACACTGAGAAGAGCGAAGACGAGGACATATCGAAGCAACTGCCAATAGCTACAGAACAATCGGATATATCCACTGATAGTAAATCACAAGAGGAATCCTCACTCTTGTCTCTAAATGAAGAAGATAAGGCATCGATTGGGGGAATGAAGGAAGACGCAAAGAACGTTAGTCCCAATGCCTCCCAGACAGACGTCGAAACATCCAAGACTTTGGTTGCTCCTCCCGCACCACAGGCACAATTAGATCTAGACAGCATCGATCTAGACGACATCCAAATCGGTGACCTGCAGGGATTAGACGCTGCAGATGCAGATTTTTTACGGGCCAAGTGTCTGAACAAACTTTCGCGCAAGGAACGCGAGCACGTACTGCAAGACATTCACGGCGTTGCAGATCTGATGGAAGAAAGCTCTCRACTCTTCGTGGAAGAATCTCTCGAGGAATTCGAGATCGAAGTCATCCGCGAAGTGGCCTGGCGCAAGAAGAACAATGCCAGCGACAAGAGCATCAAGCAAAAGAGCAACAAGGAAGACGTTGCCGAATCCCAACAAGAAGAGAATCAGGAGCAACAGATACCAGAACTCGAAGAGAAATTGGGAAAACTTCAAAGCCGGCTCGATCAATTGGTTCGTTGCAGAAAGAATTTGAACCACAGCATGAATACCGATACTGATTCTTTCCCCAAAAAGCAACTCTCAGCTAAGAACCATCCTATGTTCGGAAAGATGGGAGAAATTGGTAGAGGCATGAACCTGCCATTCGGATCGAGCTCTAGTTTAAAAAACAAAGACATGCGTGAAAATATTGTGAAGCCAATGCTGAACCTCTCTTCTGGACTAAGCTCCCCGTTCTTCAGTCCAACAACTGATGCGGCCTTTTCGCCTGCTGCAAATGAGTCCCAGGAGGACGCTGCTGACCTGATCTCGAAAGACGCTACTGCATACGAGCAAGCACTGGCGCAATGCCGTAGGCGAAGTCGGAACAGTAGTTTGTTCAGTCCTAGCATTAGTGATGGTAACGATATTTTTGACGACGACCGATACATCGACGTTGATCAACGAGGATTTCGTCTGTCTTTTCTGCGCGCCGAGCGATACAATACAAAGAAGGCCGCAAAACGTCTCCTTGATCACTTTGAAGAAAAACGAAGACTCTTTGGTGTCGGTTATCTCACGTCGAAGATTCAACTGAAAGACCTCGATCGTCAGACGAAGGATTGCTTGGAGTCAGGTCAGATCCAATTGCTCCCTGAAAGAGACAGGTACGTTCTCCATATGCGCCGGAGTGTTACATTTCTATGAATTCCGAATCAAATCTCCGATTGCGAACACTGAACCGAACACATATCTTGTGAACGAGTATTACTTGCCCTATTAATGCTGATCGTTGCTCACACTCTAATTTGTTTGAAAATCTGTACTTGAAACCTTGATATCTACAACAACAACTCGGCATCAAATTGTATGAAATCAACCGTCCAATTGACGACGAATGCAGAGCCGGAAGAGCTGTTATTGTCATAACTAGTAAACTCGCAATCAATAGTGAGGATCGCCAATACGAGAATAGTGTTCTTCGTGCTTTCTGGATTTTGGCTTCGATCGCTCTAGAAGATAAAGAGACAGAAACGAAGGGCKCCGTCSTTGTTAACTACAATATTGGTGGAAGCAATAGCGACCACCTTCTAGGGGTAAATGGTCAACGCCGTCGAGTTCGCCAGTGGAAAAATACTCTCAATGCCTTGCCTTTGCGAGTTGCATCCTTTCATTGGTGCGTCGAGAATTTGGCTTCGAAGCAAGCCACTTACCTCTCGGCATTGATGCTCGGTGGATCGAACTTTGTTCGAGTAAGATGCCATGCCGGTTCGGACAATGATGTCCAGCACGATTTAATGACATTCGGTATTCCCATTGACTTGTTCCCTGTCTCCATGGCARGCGAAGTCAATTTGTCGCACCATTCGAGATTTTTATCGAAACGAAAGAAATCTGAGGCATCGGTGTTCCTAAACAAGGCCCTTGCGTTGATCGAAGCACCTCTACTCGATGATTCCATCACAATGGATATGAAAGGAGACGAACAATTCCTAGAACCGGCGATTGATCCTTCACCAGGGGTAGCTACTGGCGGAGATACATTCGCGACTGCTCAGTTGCTGACGTCGGGAAATTTGAGCAGTTATAGCCCAAACATCAACTTTCAACAAGAGCAGCAAGAACAGCTAGAGAAACTAAGAAACGCGGACAATTTTGACCGCAATACCATTCACAATCGCAACGCCCAGTCCGCATTGGACGACTCCTTATACTTCCTTGGAAATGGCAATTCAATACAAGGGCAACATTCAAGCCAACATCAGTTTCAGCATAATCAATTGGGAATGAGTATGGGAATGGGAATGGTTCCCCAATTCCATCAGCAACAACAGCAGCAACTAAAGCAACCACTTCCGAACATTGCTAAATCCAAATCCGGCATTGCATTTTCGACGGAGCCTGTCCTTGTGCCTGGTGAATTAGATATCCTTCTTGGACGGGGACGGGGTGCACAGAATCACAAAGGCAATATTCATTACCGCAACGTCGTGGAAACCTTCCGTGCCCGATACGAGCAAATCCCTCAAAAGGGTGCGAAGACCCAACTCATCCGCGAGGTCGTTGCAGTCATCTACGACAACGGTGGGCGATTTCTGAAGCAGGATCGTTTCAACCGGTGGATTCCGGTCGATCCGGAGGTTGCTCGTGACAAGGTCAGTCACTCTTTCCGCAACCAAAAGCGATTGTCAATTGGAGGAAGCAATTCTGGAAAACGTTCTCGTGACAAGGATTAATTTATTTTATGCAGCTTTCTCCGCAAATGGATACATTTGTACGACACAATTTTTTACTTCACTGCCATCACCTGAGCAATGTCTTCCATCAATAGGGTAACTCCTATCAACCATTTTTGTCCCTATTGTTGCAATTTGAAACCTTCCACCGAACGGTCTGATCCTTCATAACTTCATCTACGTATATTTTTGCACTCATAATTCGTAGCCAGCATTGATAAAAAATACATTTGTCCATAACCTCTTTCACTAGTAGACCTAGCATTCTTCCTTCACAACGACTGCGCACACCTCACATCTTGACCAGTTAACATAATTGAGAGGAATCAAGAGTTGACRACAGAGATGGTTCAAAACCTTCATAATAGGAGATGATGCTCGAGCTCCAAAAAAAGTTATTAAGTTGCGTATCTCGTGAGTGAATGCATCGTTGATGCCATTTCAAAATTTGCTCACGGTTCTATTCGCAGACACAATAAACAACGGAAAGGTAAAAGTGTTCTTACAATTAAAGTACATGAAAGGTGTTCAGAATCAAAGTTATGAATATAAATGTAAAAACATAATTCTAATTTAAGGTATTTGTTGTAACTGAATATTACAACTTCTACACAAACTGCAATAAATGAGCTAGGCGGAGAGTGCGATGATTCTTCGCCGATTGGTTTGAATTTCACCATTTTGTGACTCGGGCAAGGTGTGATCGATCTACATTGGCCTTGCTCTTGAATTGGAATCATCATGTCGTTTGGACTACACCTGCTTTCAACTCGGGTCTCTTCGTGAAAGTACTACATGTGCATATTGTACCATTCCTTTCTCTGCAAACAATTTTTGGCAACATTCGCGCAATCGCTATGCGATTCAATCTTCCCATGATATCTTCACCACAGCGTCCATACCCAAGTTTTCCCATTTCCAACTAACGCAATACATTCCATCACGTGAAACAGCACGATTGCGTCGAGGGTCTTCGGTATCGAATATCATGGCTGATGACACCGACGAGTCCCCACCCGTGTTCAGGCGCTGTCGGTTCGGACGAGAGGGTGTTGACGAATCCCCCGATTTCAGCCGTTGCCGCAGTGCTTGACCGAATCCCCCGGTGGAAATATCAACACCATCAACGTTGGCAACGTCTTCGAGTTCTTGCAGACCATCGAGGATGCCACTCATGTTCGTCGTATCTCTCTCGTTTGCGCTGCTTTCGCAGGGGGGATTTTGCGACGGCTCCTTGGGTTGCTGCATCGGCCGTTCGATGTCTCGTGCGTCGGCGAGAACATTCCTCGCACTCGCGTTTGCTGCCGCCTCCGCATCGTAAAAGCATTCTTCAACGCACCTCCGAACTGCGTTGTGGACACGAACCCGTCTTATCAGCGCGTGGGTGATCCCACAGAACGATGTAAATAGAAGCACACCTACCATGACGCCGAGGCGGGGCCCGATTCCCTTCACCAATCCAAACAGCAAAATCAGAGCCATGATGATGAGCAAAAATCCCGAGAGCCAAAAGAGCAGTATCGATTCAGACGTGTTTTTGGCTACAGCGGTCGCTACTAGGTGATACAAGTCTTGCCATCCTTGTTGAGTAATGACAATGGTTCGGCTGTTGACAAATTCTTCCGGGAGGTCGATCGTCATAGTATGGGACGACCCATTGGCATGGACTACTTTGGGCGACCACGACATAATTGGACGTGTTGTGATTTTAAGGAACAACTCGTTACCCACTGCTGCTACTCCATCGAGATGTTCCACATTTGCTACCGCTTCCGAATTGGAGAGGATACGGGTTCGATTCGAAAATCTAGGTGTAGGATTTGTTGATGTTGGTGTGCATTGGGGGTACTGGATGTTCGAAGTTCCGCTTATCGCTGAAAAAAATTCTACCGGGTTCGCCAAGCTACGGTCACCCTGGGAGTATCTAGAGAAGCCCGTCCCCGAGTTGACGGAACGATTTTCATCCTCGTCGTTGTTTGTGCTCAAGCTACTGTCTCCGACCGACGTATCGGTCTGTACATGGAGGGGAGGCAATGGATTCATCGCATCCCCCAAGGATATTATCGGGTGGATTTGATGAACGGGAGTCGTTCTTGCTCTTCCCAAGGATGGAAGGCGAGGTGGAATTCACTGTCTTGGTTTTCGAACCGATTGGCGACTTTTCGTACCGGACAAGGTCGTGAGTGTCGATTGCTGAAAAGCTCTTGCTGTATTAAACAATCGCAAGCGGCATGGAATGGTCTTGGCTGTAGATAGAAGTGTTGTGAGTGATCCAACAGGACTATCACTTTCTGGTTGTAGGATTCAGTACGGTACGTACAGAASGTTACCGTAATTTTATGGTATCGTACCGTACACTGTTGTGCTACMAGGGGACATATGTGCTACTACGTACGTACCAGTACTGTACGTACCGTACGGAACGGTTGGATCGAACAGCTACAGAGGAGTGAAGGGTTCGCGCTTTTTCTTAACGATATCCTGTTACCGCACCAAACGGTAAGTACGTGACGGTACGTGCATASACGACTCGGTACGTACCGAACGTGCCTTACCTTTTAYTAGTACGAGTATTTTCAGTCACGAGCAACCTAAAAACAAAATAAATCATGCAAAGTGAAAATATGGCATTTTAACTGTTGACGCCTCTCCTATTGACTATTGAAATACGAAGTACAATAATTATGATACGTACGTACGTACCATATATTACTCATATGCCGAATTTAGATGTCGCTGAATCTGTTCGAAAACCTTATCGATATTCTTCGCAKAACTTCCATGTTCTGTGTTCCTTCGAACTCTTTCGGTCTGTACGAACTACCCATCTTACGATTACGCCCAGTAGTGCAATCGGTAAAATACTCTACGCAGGGGTCATAAAATGTACGTAGGACGCCTGACTGTACGCSTAGCGTACGTGCCATACGTACGGGTACCTAACAGTAGGGGGGCTGCTGTAGTTTTTCTGACGGAGCGACTCGTGAAATACGAATGGAATGAGTCGTACCGGACATACGATTACTACGACCTACGGTAAGCCTACCGTTACACTTGGTTACGATCGTGCACATTCGTTCTGGTGTCAAAATCGATAGAAGTTTTTCGAGACAGAGCTACTGTTACAGCTACAGGACAGTATGTCGGGACGTACGATTTGTGCGTAACATACTGTACGTAACACAGCTTACGCGCACTCTTTTTGTACCGGTACGTGCAGGAAGAATTTCGTAACGCTTGGAAACGATGGGTTTTGTTTATTCCGCATGTCTTCCACCGACATAGAAGTACTTGAACTGCGATAGAATAAATTACAGCTAGACTATGACGGCTTTGTCAGCCGAATTACACTAATTGTAATTTTTTTGGTCGCTCGGTAGCGTAGGTTGAACTGAGCTGAAGGAAAAGAGAGGAGCGGGACGGAGAAGAACAAAGGACGATGAACGGCGCCAGCGGAAGCGACGAGCATCGTTACCACGCCCTGCCACCCCGAGAGGGAGGTTGCGACCACGACGAAGAAGCGGGTATGGAGGATGCTGTTTGGGACCAACTCAACGACCAACAATCCCGGGAAGTCCAGCAGCACGAGTCGAGATTCCAAACCGGAGATCCCTACGGGAGAGATAACCCACTGTCGATCGCCTGGAGCATGGCTCACCAAACCACCAGCAGTGCCGGCGATCTCCTTCGGCAAACCGCTCAGAGAGCCCGGGTCGCGGTTCGAGACTGGCAACAAGTGAATCACGGCAATAACGACGACCTTARCCCCAGTCATACGAACTRTAGTTCTTATCCCTACAGCAGAACCAGGAGGGGGATGAGCCGTCCCGACGATTACGCTGCTGTTGGTGATGAATTCGATCTGCAATTCGGAATTTCCGATTTACTGAGACGGGGAGGAGAATCTTCTTTATCATTGGAGGCAGAGGGTGAGAACCACAAAAAAATTATCGGAAACAGGCGGGTATTGGAAGGACCGCTACCACCAGCCAACCATGACAAAAACGACGAAGAAACCGAGGCACCAGCGCAGCCACTGCAGGGATATCCCTTTGTAGTGCTCAAGGAAGGCCGAGATGTTCCCAATCGAAACAACTACCTCAACCAAAAAAGTGAACGCGATCGATGGGGGATGGTTGGCAATCTAGATGTCTTTTTGACGCATCTCTACAAGTACTATTACCACCGGGGTCTGACGCCCATGCTTTGTTCCTTCGCGGTAGAAACATGCTGTTTGCTCTTCACGATCTGGCTGACCCGCCTGCTATTGATCGGTGTCGACTGGCCAAAACTAATGGCTATGAAATGCGATGGCATTGATGTCGACGAGGAAAGCGATGGCGGCAATCATGGTGGAGGAGACGACGACGTTGTCAACAATGCATGCTATCCCCACTTGAGCAGTTACGCCCGTACCGATCCGCTGAGCTGGACGTCCTACCTATTGATACAAGGGTATACGCTCCTGCTGTTGGTCTATGCCGGCTTTAAAATTTGGATGTTCTACCACGATTTTTTTGGATACGCTATTCAGTGTCGGACCATCTTGCACGACAAACTCGGACTTTCGGAACGAAAACTCCAGGGCGGGGCGCTCTCGTGGAACGATGTGGTGACAAAGTTGGTCGAGGGCCAAGAATCCGGTAGCTACAAGATCATACACCATTACAGCAATACCGAGCCGAATTCTGCAAACGGCACTATTCAAAATTCATATTCTCCGCCGCAACACAACAGCAAGAATAACAACATCACTGGTGAACGGGACCGACCATCGCAAACTACACCAACGAATACTAAAGGAGGAAACGCCAGTGTGCCGGCGGCACCCCCGTCCGCGGCCTTCAATTTGCCAGCGAATCCTTCGAAACTACAACACGCTAACAGATCTCTGTTGGATCCCCTTCAAATTGCACAACGGATTATGCGAAAAGAAAATTTCATGGTGGCCTTTTGGAACGCCGGCCTCTTGGAATGCACGAAAGTTGTCTTCCCGTGGAACAGCAGTGATGGAGTCCAACGCTACTATTGGTGCGGGGTTTTGGAATGGTCCTTTTATCAATGCGTCCTGAACTTTATGTTCAATCATAAGTACGAGCTACGCCCCGCCTTCTGCTTGGATTCCGATGCACTGAAACGCAGGCTGAAAGTTTGCGGGGTCGTTCACTTGTGCTTGCTTCCGTTTTTGCTGGTCTTTGTGGTCTTGCATTTTTTCTTGAGACACGTCTACGTTGCAAAGAGCAGCAGTTCCTCGTCGTCTTCTGGCGATGGAGCCGATGGTGGTGGGATCATGGGGCACCCACGCTGGTCGTCTGCGGCGGCGTGGCAGTTTCGTGAATTCAACGAATTGCCCCACGCGTTTGAAAAACGGATGGAGCCGAGTTACAAGGAGGCTTCCAAATACTGCAATCTATTTGGAACCTCAGAATACCTCGCAGCGATCGGTAGGTTGTTGGTCTTTTTCGGCGGTGCGATTGGTGGAATYTTACTGGTTCTGGGCGTGGTAGTCAGCGACGGTTTCTTGTTGCACGTTCAGCTGTGGGGACGAAACCTCGTGTGGTATGCAGGAATGGCAGGGATTGTATATTCGATTGGAAGGGCGCTGGAACCAGCCAAAGAAGCCACGCCGAGCGTTACCAAGAATCTTTTCGAGGACATGGATGTCGCTCTGAAAAGAGTTTCTCAGCACACCCATTATTATCCCGAACACTGGAAGGGACGTGGCTGGGATTCTAAAGTCTATAGTTCCTTCAAGATGCTGTTTGATTCCGAGGTGAAATTGTTCTTGCACGAGTTGGTCGCACTTGTCTTAACACCTTACATTCTGTTTTTCCGTTTGTCGGAAAAAGCCCCGGAGATATGTGAATTTTGTCTGCTCTCCAAAACCAAACTGGTATTGTCGGCGAACACAAGCACCACTACTGGTACTGGCAGTATCATTGCGGGAGATGTTTGTGGCTTTTCGACCTTTGATTTTGATACGTACGGCGACGAAGCGTGGGAAGGGAGAACGCTGGGGAAATCGGCCTTGCTGGAGCGCCGGCGACAAGAACACCAAGGTGGAGCAGAGTCGCTGACGGAATCGATATTGCGAGGGGGAAACCTGGAAGAGGCTACGCGGCTGCATCCGAAACCTAGAGCCCGCCACGGGAAAATGGAGAAGTCTTTTTTCACTTTTCAKGAGGCACATCCGAACTGGGAATCCTGTTTTCCACCGTCGGGCCAATCTCTTGTGAACCGAGTAGAAGAGTACCGCCTGACTACGGAACAAGCCAAGGTGGCACGAGAAAGAGAATTCCACGTCCAAGCCGCCACTCGGCAACTGGAAATGCTGGCACGGATAGAGGAAGAACAAAGCAATTCGTTCAACGACCCACACCGTCCACAGAACCATCAACAAGGTCTGCCACTGGGCAAGATGGGGAATTGGAACCCTGCCCACCACGGAAGAACGAAAATTCCCGCAGCCGACGCCGGCGCGGGAAGCCAGAATCAATCGCCCTCGTCTTTGTCGCCGTTGCCTACAATCCACACCCCGGTGTACGAACCGGAACAACAAGCCCGGAAACCAGGATTGCAACACCGGTGGCCCGCGGCGACCAGTGGGAAGAACGGAGTCCGGGGGTTTGCCGAACATCTCTCGGCGCACGCCGACCATCTTTCTCTGGAGAACCCACCATCCGTCGACACCGCTTTGCCCGTCGCTGTTTCCGACTCGCTCGCATCGGAGAACCGCCAACAGATTGCCGGAAACGGTGGTGCATCTTACCGAGAAGAGGGCCGTGCTTCTGCACCGAGTCCCGAACCCCCGCGGTCTGCCGAATCCCGACTGTTCGAGAGCCGGATCATCGATTCGTCCCTTTCTCCCGGTGTGGATGTGGATGTGGATGTTTCTGCGGATGTTTCTGTTGCGTGTCACCAATTGCAACCCGGGTTGGCACTTTCGTCGTCCTCTAGATCGGTATYGTTGATGGGGCGAGCGGATCGAGGTTCGCAGAACCAATACCATTGGCTCGAACGGTTTCACGAGGATCTCGAAAAACAGCAAGAAGACATCAATTTGCAACAGCGATCCTACGCTGGTACCTCGCCTCCAGAAGAACTAAATCCAACCGCAAACCACGCCAGTGGCGCTACACCTTTGCCGGAGGTTCGGGAAACGGACTCGCTTCCCGCCGATGCCACACCGGGTGGCAACGCTAGTTTCGACACAGAGGACAAAGGTTCACGGTACGATTGAGAACAGATCCTTCCCGTGTATGCAAAAATAAAGCTAAGTAAGATCGTTTTCTTCCCGTACCGTAGCTACCCCCACTCAGAGCAAGAGTAACGCACCTACAGAACCAAGGCGKGCTTGGATGCGCCAAGGCCAGTCGCTGCGTTGTGTGGGGAGGCTCTCTTCCTTGGGACCGCCGTCTGAACTGTATTGTACAGAAAATAGTAGAAGTAAATAGGTTCAGGGGTCCTGTTCCCCGTACTACGGTACGGTACGAACCGTAGAAGACCATCTTCGAACAAAAACCTGCGATCTCTGTTTTGAATTTTGAAATAGTATCCGCGACTCAGAGTCCCGTTTCCTCTCTTGCCAAACAATTTACTGTAACCAAACAACATGCACGGTGATCCCGTTCCTCTCCTGTTCCTCCCTCCACAATAATAGTGCTGTACCGTATGGATGGATGCAGGTCTGCACAAGGTTTGATGCTCACGAGACAGAGAGAGGGAAGGATCGTTGCAAACCGAACCACTATAAAGCTCATCCTGCGGGCGYGTGTTCGCATTGCCATTGCACCATGGGAGGCAACGGGGGATCGCCAAAGACGAGAAAACGAAAGCACAACGGCGACGCAGAAGCAGACGCAGGCGCAGACACAGACCCAAACCCGCCCGGGGATGGCAGCAGCTGCAAGGATCCGGAGCAGGACGGGGAAGCCCTGGCGCAGCGAGAGGCACTCGCGCAGTCCGAGGCCGACGACCTCGAGGATCTCTTGCTCATAGCAGCCGAGGCAGCCCTTATCGAATTCGACGAAACCACGGGCCGCCCCGTTCGAATCGCCGGGAATGCCAGTGCCAGCGGCAGTGCCAGTGGCAACGCCAGCAGCAGTGCCAGCGGCGACGAGGGCAACGCCCCGATCGACGGCCTCTTGAAGATATCCCGCCGGATGCTCCGGAACCAGGCCGAGGACCTCTTCGAGGACCTGAAAGGCATCCACGCCATCGTCAAGGACAGGGTCCGCACCCACGAGATGGTTCCCTGGGCGGGAACCGACGGCGACACGAAACGGCTCCGCGCCTTTGGCTTCCTGGGATCCCCCGCCCTGGAACGCCTGGACCGATCGGGGGCCGTGCGCCTCCACGCGCCCGAGAAGACGGGGGCGGAAGCCCTCCGCGACGAGCGCGCCAATCGCAGGGCCATCTGCGTGCTGGACCCGGCCGGGGAGCCTTTGCCGGCAGGGGCAAACGACCGCCGCGAAAGAGCGGCAGCCGTTGTGCGAAAGAGGACGGTCCGCCCGGCAGAGGTGGCGGACAAGCTGTGCGCCGCCATCCTCGGCAGCGGCAACGGCAGCGGCAACGGCGACCACCATCCCCTGGATCCGTCGCTGCTGTCCTCCGGGTCGCTGATTGCCTACCAGACGAACCTCCACAACGGTGCGAAACACCTGGGGGCCCACCTCGATGCGCCGCTCCACGAGGGCTTCGGAAAGGTGATCGTCACGGTCGCCGTCCGTGGGAGCGCCACGATTCTGTTGATCGGAAAGGGAACCGGCGGCGACGGCGACGGCGGCGACGACGAGGGGGAACAGCCGGCGTGGAGGTTTCGCGTCGAGGAGGGCGAGGCCTACGTGCTGTCCGGAAACGCCMGAAACGCGTGCCTCCACGCGGTCCTGGCCGACGACGGCGGCACGGGAGGCGGCGGCGGTGGGCACCGGGAATCCCTGAACCTCCGCTTTGGAATCCACACCGTCGAAGAAGCCGAGCGCGACATCAAGCGGCACTGGCCGGATCTCTGGTGACCGCAACGGTCCGAACCACCCGTTGGAGGAAGCCTTCCGCGGTTGCGGGGGGGAAGGGATCGTGGGACTCCCGGTGCCGGCGGGGCGTGCCGTTTGCGGGGGGGAAAAGAACAAACCGTTGCGGGCGAACGAAACCGAGAGGGCCGAATCGAATCGAATCGAATCGAATCGAATCGAATCGAATCGAATCGAATCCATCCTCGACCTTGCCGCTGGCGGGTGCGCTGCGTCGCACCACCCTTTGCCGGTTCTGGCAGAGCTCTGCCGTACAAACCGTTTTGGAAGAAAGGAGGACAACGAGAATTTTCAAACAAAATTTGGGCACGCACATTTCGAATGCTCGAGTGTTTCATACGGTACGTGAACGACTCGAGAGATCCTAGTGATTGGTACGGGACGAAGCAGGAKGACCTATTCTTGTGCACTCGCCTCCCGCATCCTCCTCCTCTGTATTTTTATTCGATCAATGTATTTCAATAATTGATGCATGATGCATGCCAGAACGAGCTTCTACAAAACCATCGTTGAGTTGTCCAGGAGATGCAAGGCACGACGGAGGAACGAAACGAATGAAAGACCAGGCACAGAAAAACTAGTAGCTTTGGCTAAAAAGCAACGAGCATGCACGAATGAATGCCTTTCTTGCCGATGTATACATTCGGAAATACTAGCCATGAACTTTCGAACTGTGATCATTTTCATTCTTTTCAAGGAATAAGCAATCTGAAAGAAACTCCTTTCATAGTGACAATGACAATAGAAGAAAATATTGAACAWGGTGTCTCCGCGCACTTAYTAGTAAAACCATCTATATTTTCCAGTTGCCACATGCTGAATCCCCACATGACAAAAAAACACCTGTCCCTTTCCGGCCTGCTTGGATCGAACCTATTACGTTTTGTTTTTACTTGCCTTCTCGGGTGTACATCCCGTTCGCCAATCACGCCTAGCATTTTTGCGCGAGCATTGCCGTCGAACTTCACTGCTTCTCGGCAACAGTGACGGCCACCAAATAGTGGTCTCCCTTTTTTCCGCTCTTGGTATTGACAACAAAGGAGCCTGCAGGGGTTTGGGCAAAGTCCTCGGATGTTGCAATTTCCATGGCATAATTGTTRCGAGAAATGTCCTCTGCGGTGTTGCTATTCGTGGCATTCTCTCTGCGGACTTCGGTCTCCTTCACAACCTCGTTGCCGTTGCTGTCCACTACCGAAATCTCGCACACATTATCCGACCGGCTGTAGACCACGATCGAATCCACCGTTTCTTCCTCGGATAGATCAAACCCGAAACAAATCTCATTCCCGGCCGTGGTCAGTTGTTTTACAACGTACCGAGCGATTCCTTCTTTGTGTGTAAGTTCCTTCTGGCGTTTGGCTAAGATTTCCTCGAAGGATTCTCCGGTTCCACCATAAGTCGAAAGCAAGTCTTCCGATTCAATGTACTTTAGAAAATCCGATGTTGCCTTGGCGATCGTCGAAAAGAATCCAATTTTTTGGACGGTCCTGGGGTCGATGAGCTGCTTGATGACTGCCCACGCAATGGAAAAGGAAAAGGGTGCGTTCAAGACATACGTTCGGTTGACAGTTTCGGGAAAGCACGAGCCCGCTGCCGGTGCAGCCTTCAAAAAGTCTAGTCCGCTCGAGAATAGTGCCGAATCACCCGCAAGATCGACTACAATGATTTTTTCGCCCAAGACCGTGGTGGTAGAAGGATCCGCACGTGCAACTTCCCGTTTCATGGCATTGCGTGCGCCGTGGTAAAGCCGATTCCATGCAACGGGAAGCGCATTGACCATATCTCCGGCGATGCATTCGATACCCGGGCAGTTGACCTCTCCCGCCTTGAAATACAAGACGATCGCACCGTTCTTGCCAATTCCGCTATGGATGAGGGGAAATTGAGTCAAAAACACTGGCAGYGGACAGCCATTGAATTCTGGGATCGTGTTGTGAAAGTCCTCGTAGAAACCGGCGTCCCTTGCGATGGACCAGCTTTGAGGTTGGTTTTTTTCTGTCAACATGGCAAACACGTCTTCAATGACAAAATCACGCGCCCGCAAATACCGACAGAGGGCAAATGCCTCGTGTTCGTATGGGTGCATTGACATGACCATTTCTTTGAAGGCAGGGTCTCTTTTCTTTAGCTCTTCGCGAAATTTGAGGCACGTTTCCAAATCTGATTCTGTCAATTCTCCGGGATATCCTGATCCTTGAGACCCCGGGGTTTCCGAGGAAAGATGTTTTGAGATGGCAGCTACGGATCGGCGTTGCGGCTGCTGCCCATCTACTTCTTCTATCGATCCGAGGCTGGGATTACTCAGGAGAATCGGGAGAGTCCCTGGTTGCTCCATGTCCACCTCGTTCAGAGAGAGTGACAGTCTCATAGTGTGAGCGGGAGGATAAAACATATCTTCCTGCGATGGAAATCTATCAATGGCATCGAAAAAAATTGTACCTTCGGAGTCTACTTGGTATGCACCACTTTGTAAGATCTTCGAGCCGCGTATTGTTGTTCCATCTGAATGACTCTTTGCATCGCTTCTGGTACTATTTTGGATCACTTTTGTATCTTGGCTGCTGCTACTGCAGCAAAGGTTTCCCATCCTGATCTACAGTGTGTTTGCAACCGTTCCACTTGTAAACTATCTTTGGTTTGGAACCTTTCCACTGGAGAGAGATTTTTTGTCGTTCGACAATCTCGCAGTGCGATCTTTTGGGTTGCATTCAGTTGGCAACCCTCAACCCTACCGTACCGTCAGGATCCGTACCGTACAGATCCGAGCTGCGCCCGACCCAAAACCCAAACGAAATAATTCAAAAAATAATAGCCTTGKTGAAGTACAGTACGAGCAAGGTTGTCAGTMATCGTACTACTGCGTGTTACAGAACTTTTAGCCACAAGTACTACTAGTACCAGTGCCCGACTGAAAACGGACTGGGAGTATTTAGGCTCACAACCGTACCGTAAGGTAGATCTTAGGAACGACGATACGATGCGAAGAACAGCTTGTCGTTGGTAACGATCAAACAATTTAGTGGAAGTGAATAGCAGTAGTAACTTGTGGTATCATTTTGATGGTACATTCTACAGAAATCAATCATGATTGCAGCATTAAAAATCAAATATCGTTATTCATCCAGTAGTATTCAAAATTAGGTATGTAGCATGATACAGATATGGTGCACTCCTGAAGAACAGGATCTTCGTCCAATAGCTGGCGTGYTTGTATGTTCAAAATTTTTCATCCATTCGCAATGACATCTGCTTTCTAGCAGGTGAATTACTCGTGGTTTCATTCAAAATTATTTGGTTTTCTGACGTTCCATGCTTGTCAAATAGTTCCAGTACAGCACGTGGTATCAGGGTCGGTTTGTCCATCGTCGGTAACGACTTTGCGTCGTTTTGAATTGTCCAGTGTCGTAAACATGGCTGTACCGCAGCGGTCTTTTTGGATTTTAAGCTTCGCTGCAAGCCGCCGTTTGTGATCGTAGAGTGATGTTGCGATACGATCGTGCAGATCTGGCCCCTCTTGGATTTCTGTCCAACAGTATCCACCCCGTAACTTCCTATCGAGTGTCAAGAACCGACCGCCCCTGTTTTGAACTTCATCAACAATAGCTTGACGGATTGCTCTTCTCATCTTGCGGTTTTGAAGTGGCGTTCCTGTCACGTATTGCATGAGGGAACGCTTCATCAAATCCGTGAATTCAATGTTCCCATAATGTGTAACATTCTTGCCACCCTTACTAAACAAAACATCATTGATCATCGGGTGGATAATCGGTTCTTTTCCATGGTATTGTAAATAGTCTTCATATGTTGGGTACATACAGCAGTTTCTGGGTGATGTTACCGATGATCCTGTCTGTTGTTTTTCCTCCATTTGTTGTTGAAGCATTTTTTCGTTGTAGCAACCTTCAAGCGATTTCATCCTCGCGGTATCTAGTGCCTTTCGGGTTCTGGTCCATTGCAAATGATGCTTGGTCTTAATACCACCCGTGCTTGTGATTGGGARTTCTGATACAGGAATTCCAAAGGTCATCAATTTGTATTGCGTTTCAATTGTCAATCCTGAAATCGGTAGGGTTTGTAGATAGTGTTACACAATCCGGAGGGAAAAAATAAGTTGGGATTTCGATACGCACAACCGTGTGTCTTTTGTTTGTTACGAGAGTACTTTCACATATTATGATAACCTGACTTACCTTCCATGTGAATGCGTGTTCGAAGCCGTTCTTCTCGGGACATAGCCAGCATCATCACGGCACGGATAAATTTCATTTTCGGATTGTTTTCAGGCAAACAAAAGTGAGTACAAGATCTTCTGACAGGACTTCCTTCTCGATACAAGCTATATTCCAATTTATCATTGGGGTCTTCTAGGTGTTGCAGAGCTTCGTCGTTTGTAGAGAAGATGAAGATGACGCCACGCTTCTGTGTTTCGACGTCTTCGCTGACAACTGAGAATATGTAGGTAMAAAGTTTTATGATGGTTCCCATACTTGTAGTCACATCTTGAGCCGGAAAAGGTTGAGAAACAACAACCAATCGTCCCGATCGATCCCTGGATGGCAAAATTTGAACGTATCCAGCCTTTGCGGCATCTTGGCATTCTTTCCCCAAATCATCGTACATGAGTGGGCGCTGGAGAGCGTAGCTTCCAAAGTACTTCAACAACAACTCCACGCACCGAAGATATCTGTGCGCAGCCTTTTCAGCGTCGTACAAATCAGCCCGTAGGAATTTCAAACGAAACTCATCGTGAAATATGTATGAATACAACAATCGTGTTCTGGCATTCACCGTTGTCGCAGAGGGAGAAGAACATTCTTCCTCTACCGCCAAGTAAGACCATATCGCTTCATTGTAAGTGTTTCCCAGTCGGGACACTTGGGTAGGGCTTACCAATACCTCTCGTCGGATCGCACGTATCTCTTCTTCAAGACGTTTCAATCCATCTGATATTTTTAGTTCGTTCTCCACAACTGCACATGATGATACACCGTGTATTTCTTCTTGCACCAATCCACGATCAACTACGCTCAAGCCTTGCAGTTCTTTGATCATCATCCTATCAATTTCACCTGCATTGGTCTCGTTCATATTATCTAACTTGTTTCTGATCTTGCTGCTAGAGCAACYGCAAACCGAGGCACTTCCATGGCTGCATACAGAGCCTGTTGCAGTTGAAATTCTAGAGTATTTGTAATTACTATTACTGGTTGTGACCGTCGCGACGGTCTCGCAGTCGGAATCATTCCGTGAAGACCCACCTCCGACCGTTCCATCTTCATCTGTGCTGCTGTATGAAGCATCCCTCACACAAGGTCTCGGAGAAAAGCTAGGATCACTCCCTGCGGTCAATCCTTCTGATCCGCGGTCGATACTGACATCTTTGGGCATATCGCCTGGATCCGAATTGGCAGTTATTACGACATCATTAAGTTCCGAACAACTGGGTGGAGAGTGTTTAGAGCACGAGTCCATGGTACCCATCACGTTMTATCGCTTTGATTTTTACAATTGGACAAACAATCGGAAAGAACCACTGTCGCATGGAWTGGGTTRGCAGTWTCCTATCGACCACAAAAAGGCATTGAGTTGAAGACATAAATATCCCTTTCGGAGGAAACAATTCAATATTCTTTGTTGAAAGAGCTTTCGGTGCTCTATCTATGCGAGGATATGAATCCTGTCAGACCAGACTATTCTGCAGTAGATTATCTTGACGGTTTAAGTATCGTCCTCGTGACTACTAGTAAAGTAAGATGCAACACTCCTTCAACGATCGACACATTGTAAAAAGAAATGAAATACTTCGAATCCAGTGAAGACAATATGTGCAAAGCGCAACAGACTTAGATTTTTGATAATRATGAGAGATAGGCCTTCTAAGAGTAATGTCAACAACGACATGAAAAACCGAGAAAAATGATTCATTCCTTTCGATTGATCGCGCTGATATAACAAAACCCGTTCCTAGAAAAATTAATTAATAAGATCTTTGTTGAAGATGGTTTCGAAACTATTCCCCGGGAGAGAAAAATGAATCAGCAATTGTATCTCTGAAAACCGAGAATTTAGCTCYGATTAGTGGAATTGCCTTACATGGCAATACGTGCGATATTTCTTTCTTAAATCAATCTTAGAAGGCTTCTACTGACTCAATAGAATACAAGAAAAGAATGACTAGGATCGTACAAGATTCTTCTGCAAACCTGCATGCATTTTCCCATTCATTTCGAAGGGAACAAATAKTGTCTCATTTTCGAACTAACACTTTCTATTTTCATYAACAGACTAGGAATGAGAAAGAAAACGAAAATTTGGTATTGCCCTGTGTCTTATTTGTTTATGATTGTTTTMATAATKATGGTGCTMTTTTTGAATAGATTAAGAGACTATTTTTTTGTTTTCAAGATACATAACAGATCTGATTTGAAAATCATTCGATTCTGATGCATCTTACGTTATATGAGACGCAGAGACTTAACAGATCTGATTTTTTTCTATGACTGAGAGACAATACATCGGATATTAAGTATTTTTCTTTTCGGACCTCTCATGAAACAATAGAGAAATACTATTCTCACAGTCAATTTATATAGACCATGGACTTGAACGTCAATTCAATAAAGAATGCATTGGTAATAGCTTCACCTTATTATATAAACAAACCTCCTTTTCTTCAATGCATTTTCCTTTCTCGTCAATTTGAACCACGAACATAGTCTTCAAATGAAGCTGATGACAACATCTCCGTCTACCGATTTCTTACTGAAGAGTTAACGAGGTGCGAAGAAATAATTATGGGCTGTATTGAAAATTTAATGTGCCTCCAAGAATAAATGTTTACGGGAATCATCCAACACACAGTAGAGTTACCATGTAAATTTCAATTTTAGGGGGAATTTAGATTCCCAGGCCCCCCTTCATGGTGGTTCCAGCTAGCTCTTCATCCTACTAGTAGCACCATGCCYCCCCATTCCTTTCATCCTTCTTCCTTGTCTTTTCAATCAGCTTACTGATAGGTAGATAGCTATTCATACACCTCATGGGTCCTTCTAACTGCAGAAGTCACTGTGTAGTACCCTCTTTAGTCAGCCTCGTCTTCATACACTCCTTCCAAGAAGAAATAATCAGTCTCTTGCTGTATCTGTCCTTCCACCAATCCCATTAGCTTCTATTACTGTTGCAGCAGCACCTCCTTTTCTTCCCCTGCCAGTCCCAGTAACACCACCACTACCAAGCCCACTAAAAACACTACCACCACCACAGCCACAACTGCCACCAGCCACAATCGTCCTTGCAAGGAGGGCTACAGTCAATGCTCTTGGTGTGGCTTGCAGTGATCTAAGCTGGCATTTTGCATCAGCTAGCTCAGAAACTTGATGATTGTGAATTTGGCCGAGTTCCTGCTGGTTAGAAGAATGCTTGGTATAATACTGACCAGACCTAGTAGTGGATCATGACAATCAGTATCTCCTCCCTTACCAAACAACCACTGACTATTCCTTCGGACTATTCATTCCTTCACCAGAGGAAAGCTATTTCTCTAGAAAAGCTGCAAGCCCAACCAGAACACAGTAGTAATTTGTATCCAACACCCCTAGCATCAACTGTTGAGGGCAATGGCGCTCCTCATTCACATTCTTGGACCAGTTCAACTTAACACCACACAGATAATTAGGATAGTGCAACAAGCTCTCATGAAAGTTTGCTTTCATTACACAAGCAGCAGTATCCATCCTACACATCAAATGCAGCTGAAACTTGAGCATTGCTTGATGCCTCAGATTATCAATCAGCTGGCCCTGATTAGATACCATATCCACTAGTTGAACAAACTCAGAGTGCATCAACTCCCTATCAGCTTCACTTGCTCTACCAGTTCCTCTTGGCTTCTATTAGGATTCACCACTTCATTAACCTTGTCCCAAGCAGACTGAGTCAACATAAATTGAGACAGCACCTTCTTCTAATGAGCCATTGATGTAGACCTTGCTTCTTTAGGACTGTCTGCACTCCCAGGATCCTTTGTTCCATAGGCTCTCACACAGAACCATCTGTAGATATCCTTTGGCTTAATCAATCTCTTTTGTTCATCCGTGAATACATGATCAAAATTGTAAACACAATCATCCTTGAATTCCATGAACTTGCAGAAGAAATTGTAGTAGGTGCCAATTGCCTTGGGGGCATTGACACCTAACTCTGTCTCTGGAATGATCCTCTTCTTCTTCTTCCCTGCTGTCAATTCCTTCTTTTTGCTTGTCCTCTTCCTTTTTGGTCTTGTTTCACTGTTGCTGCTTCTGTGATTGTTGCTGCTGCTGGCATTGCTGCTGCTGGCGTTGTTGCTGCTGCTGGCATTGCTGCTGGCATTGTTGCTTGAATCATCTTGCAGCTGGTATAAGTCTGGATCAACATCCATCATCTGCACCAGCTCTGATAGTGCTTGCCCTCCATCATCAATATTGATGGTGTTGCTGCTGCTGACAATTGCTGTTGCTGGCAATTGCTATTGCTGTTGCTGGCAATTGCTGATTTTTTGCAAGGCATCAGACAGGAGCACTAACCTGAGGGAAACTGGGGCTCTTCTSGGTCTTTTTGAGCACTTTAAGGCATGTTAAGTTGACAGTGGAGATGGGGGACACAACGACAGCAGTGGTCCCATTGTCTAAGATTGAGTAGAAGTGCTTCAAATATTCAAATAGAGGGGAACACTGAGGTCACTTGGTTGGAAAACTGAGTTTTTTGATAGGATGAATAAAGCTGCTTGTTGCTGAGGGGGGAGGGACTACACAGATATTGACACAGATTTACTACTGGGAATTTGTATCATTATTTGTTTCTTTCAGTTAACAGTTATACGGTGGGTTATTACACTTATTAGGCAATTCAGGTAGTTCATAAAGTAATACAAGCGCACACACACCAGCATGGTCAAAATGTACACAAAAAAATCATACTACTAAATAAAATGGGTACGGAAATATGTGTGTCAAAAGGTAGAAAATACATGTGTATCATTTTGCAGATGCCATGCAGGTATTCATCAACAATAAAACTAATATTACAACAGTAGAAAATCATGTACAAGTCTACATGGTTATTTGAAGAATGACAACGACAATGACAACAACAATGGACTGAATACAACAACAACAACAACAACAACAACAACAACAACAACAACAACAACAACAACATCAACAACAACAACAACAACAACCACAACGACAACGACAAGGACAATTTTTCTCCTGTCTGTACACTTCAAGTACTTCCCTGATTGCATCATGAGCAGTCCCTGCTCTGTTCWTCATCAATCTTTCAATACAAAACCAAAAAGGCTTCCTCCTGCAGTACATGAACTTGATTTCTTTTGAATTTCTCTCAGCTGCAGTGAATTTCTTCTTTGTGGGTTTGTTACCAGCAAATCCAGATTCCCATTCATTTCATATCACATGCAAGTTTGCAGGACTTCTTTGAAGGATTGCTTTTTGCTCCTCAACCTCAGCATCAGTTGCTCCAGGATTAACAAGACATTGCCTCACTCTCCTCTGGGCTACTGGAGCSATGGCAGCACAATTGCATGCAGCCTGCAGTTGCTTGTGCCTTTGCTTTTGTACATCAAATTCTTTTATCAGCAAGTTTTCCTTATTGAATGTCTTTGTCTACAAACCATGTACACCACATTCATCCATTCTTGTTGATGGGATCTTTGCATTCCCATTGTGCTGTTTCCACCACCCAAAGGCCCATTTCCACTACCACCACCACCACCACCACCACCACCACCTTGTTCATCTAGCTCAGGTTCAAATAGCTCATCAAAATTGATTTGTCCACCTGATTCATTTGGAATCATTTAAACCTTACAAATAGGGTTTGTGTTATCTTCAACAGCAATACCAGCAGTATCATTTGCACACACACYGGTATTGAGCTGAATAAAAGAGGCTATCTTATGCCTTCTTGTATCATCAGGAAAAACACCAACCATAGAAGGTTCAAAGCATGCCAAGAGTCATGCCTTTCCTAGAATCACTGCAACCCCATTGTCAAAAGCACTTGCAACATAAGGAGTCACATTCTCAGTAATCCATTTATCTGTAACCCCAGACCCTTCCACTGCCTTGTACAAACAGACACCACCATCATAACACAAATGGCTTGCAACWTTAATATCAGCTCACAAGAGCTACATATCTGTATACCTACCTTGTGACCTTCAAAGTCCCTTCCATCTAGCTCTGTAATCAATAGCATCATCCTTGGGAAGACCACTATGCTAGCAGATTGATACTGCATGCTTTCTGATAGAATGGGTACCCAACCTACCAGATTTYTCTTTCTTGAATTGAAAATTTTCCACACATAAGTGTTTAGAAATCTAGAGTACTGCTTCTTTCCTCTACTACTAACTTCCTTCTTGATTATCTTTATTGGGGATTTTTTATCACTAAATCCTTCAGTGAATAGCCACCAGTGACTTGCTGCTCCCTCACCATCATAGCACCATTTCTCCATAAACAATGCCAAAGCAAGGACAAAACATGTTTTTTCATTCATAGAACACATTARTATCTGATCAGGACAGTTGCAATCTTCCATCACATTTTTAGACCACTTCATTTTGAGTGTTACTAGAAACTCAGGAACTTGAGGGCAACCCTTCAAAGAATCCTTAGTGMTATGAACCATATCATCATTGCACACCATGGAGTGCATCTGGGTCAAAATCATTACAAGATATCTCTTCTTGTTATCAATGACAGTACCAGCATTTTGCAATATAATGTCAACTGCCTGCAAAAATTCATTCTTTGTCAATGGCCTATCCATCTTTGTCTCAATGCCAAGACCTCTAGTTTCCTTTAACTTGACTGCTGCAATAAGATTATTCAACTCTTGAGGTGGAGTAGGATTGCCATGCCCAACACCTTGCTGAAGTACAGTCCAGTTGATAGTCTTGTTAGGGAGATAATACAATATGCCCTCATTTGCATAAGCAATAGTTGTAGACCTTTCAAATTTCACATAGGCTTGGCCAAGCAAAAAAGACGATCCAATCATGCAGTAGCAATCATGTATATACACCAGCTCTATAACTTTATATGATCAATAACGCCCTATAACCCCCCACATGACTATTTGTCTTTCAATTCCCTTTCGATTCATGTGCTTATCATTGTTAAGCATCCATTTGGGACCAAGATACAGCTTCAACTGTTAGTTCATGACTAAAACAGTTGTATGGTTAAATAACATGGTGTGTGGATAACTGGTCATATTTTTACTGTGTAATGACTCATGGGATTAAAAAATTTACTTGTACTATGGCTACAGTGTGCATGTGCAAGCAAAACTATTTTGTCGCATGACTGGTGGGATTCAAAAATTCAAGTACTGAGCATGTTCATTTTGTATGCATTTAGTTTTTTAGTCMAAGTAGTTATCACACACAAAAAGATAGCCCGTAATCTACGGCTGGATTGTAGATTTTCTAGCCAACTCTATCGTATAGAGTTGGACAGCTAATGTACGGTCCCAGTTGTAGATTACGGGCCATCTAATTACCGTSTAACGACTCATGGGATTAAAAATTTAACCATACGAAATCCACGTGCTCAGTACATAATACTGCAGTGTACAGCGGGCACGCATTCATGCGACCAACTAGTTTCGCGCGCACGTGCTCAACCAACAAAATTTTTAATCCCACGAGTTGCCACGTGCTGTAGGCCTAGTACAAGTCAAATTTTTAATCCCACGAGTCATTACACGGTAATTAGATGGCCGCTAATCCACGCACACGTATAATTTAACCGTAATTGTTTCAGTCTTGAACTGACCGTTTCGGCTATAACTTTTTCCCCAACGGACGCTTAAGTATGATAAGCACATGGTTAAAACGAGAATTCAAAGAGCTTTCTAATGGCGTGGGGGAGTACGGCGTACGACGAATATTCACTGATATACGTTTACGTATATATTGAATTGCTAATGTACGACTGGTGCGTCTTTTTTTGCTTGGCCCACGCYATACGATACGATAGGATTATCATCTGGACCTGGGTCCTCTTTCCCATAACACTTCAGTGCCAAAAAACAATAGATATGTTCAGGGGTAATAATTTCAAAGTCATCATCACTAAACACATGACCCCATGGAAATCTTGTGTCATAAGTCCTTGGAGTGCCATTAGTTCTATCTCAAGTCCCATGAACAAAATCCATGATGTCAATGAAATATTTGAGATGTCTCTTCCACTGATCAGGAACATTAACTCCTGATGGGCAGCAACTATGAGTTCCTTGTCTTGGTCTTTCTCCTGTTGTGCTAGTACTAGCACTGGTGGTGGTGTTATCATCATTGTCATCACCATCCCCATTATTGACAGCAACACCATTAACACTAGCATTGATGTCCTTGTCTGCCTCTTGCTGATAACAAGCTACTGCAACAGCATTATTGCTATCTGTTTCCATAAGGGCTATACCTTCTGATAGGCCTCCTCTACTTTCTCCACCAGCGGCATCGTTCACTGTTGCTCCCCGCCAGCGTCCAGCTAGTGAAGCTTCAAGCACTGTTCCCCTTCCTCCAGATGAGCGTCCACCCCTGCGTTCACGACAATCAGCTGGTGATGCTTCAACTATTCCCCTGACTCCTGTTCATTCTCCTCATCCATGGCCTCTGTGTCCAGCACCACTGCCTCTTCATCCATGTCCTGCTGCCTCTTCTTGATCAGCTGCTTTGAGTGTTACAAGTGCAACTGTCCCCCCCCCCCCTTGTTGTTGGTGTCCAAGTGTGGTGGTGGTGATTGCTTCTTGTTCTTCTTGCTGGCGTGCCATCACTTGTACTAGTACTAGTATTAGTTGCTGTAGTTGCAGACGTTGTCCAATTTAAAAGAAAACTCAAGTTTTAAACATGAAGGGAAGAAATCAATGTGCACTTCAGTTGAGGAGGTGAATGATTTGTGGTTGCAAATTGTTGCAATACACTAGTATAAACTCAATGCATGAAATTGTGCCTCAGAGGCTAAGGGATAACAACCCCAGAAAAAATATGCAGTACTGATTTTGCATGTTAATTTTGCACATGAATCAGTCATTACTACGTACATGTGCAAAAGTAGTGGTACTAACCATGGTACCGGTCAATTAGCACTTTTTGTTGCAAATGACTAGTACCATACCAGTTAATTTGATAAAATGTATAAACTGTAAAAGCCTACCACGTGCCCCAGGGCAAAAAGGTATTCTACTTAAACACCAAAAATTATTAATTTGTACTAATAAAATCATGATCAATTTTGAAGCCCAACATTTAGTACAAGATCTAAATAGATCTACTATTTTTTTTTAAYCACAAACAGTGTAACAAGACAATTGGAATTGCTCTGGAATATCTTCGAATTTCCTTGACCCCTTTAGGGATATGTTTGGTCACAGTCTTGGGAACAGTGCCCTGTGTTAGCATTGTTACACAGTCAAAGGCCGGGTGGGGTGGGGTCCTCCATTAACAGCTGGTATGGCCAAAAGTTCTGCCAGAAGTCAATCAAAAAACAACTCTAGACCACCAGACTACTAAGTACCCAGTCCAAGTTGATATAATTACTTATAGATCCATGTCATTGGGAAGCCAAATGATGCTGTAGCAGCTTTGAACTACTCAGCCAAAAAACAGGTACTGAGTGGCCAAAAATCATTAATTCTAGGTGTAATTTACTGGTACCCATAGATGATTGTGCAGACATCTTGAAGTTAAGTTGGCATTAATTTTTAGTTCAGTTTAATACTCACCAAACTAGGAGTCATTCAAAGTATAGTAGTAAGGTTGAATGCAAAAAAATGCTGGCAGGTAAAATCGCTGCTTCAAGTTCTGCTAAAAATTGCATCTGCTAGCTTATGTCTGAATTGTATTCGTCGTCGCTTTCAAAATTTGCACGACCCAACGCAATCATGGACATTAGAAGCATGGTCTGTCGATTGGACGGAAGATCACCTCTGTGCATCTGATTCAATAAGTTACCTGCTGCTGCTCTTCGTTCGGCGAGAGGGGTGCYATCGAGAGTTTGTAGCATTCGTTGCAGGGCAGCATCTGGATCTTGCCGCCATCGGTCTGCTTGAGAATTCGTCACATTCGCATAAGACACACGTTGATGATCAATGGGCAATCCATCAAACGACGACGAAGAGAGTGGTTGTCCTCGAAACGCTGGAGCTAGATCGAGTACGTCCATTGTTCCTATTGTATCATGGTCTTGGCTGCAATATCCTCCATGAGTCAAAATGTAACCGTCTTCGTTTAAGAATGCTGCGACACCAGTGAATCGAGGTTTGGGAATAATCCCCTTGATGCAGACCCCACCACTGGTAGTAGACGATGATAAGGGTTGTGAAACTTGATCATGCCGAAAGAAAACATCAGCTTTAAGATCATATGCAATCACTCCATTAGTGGAAGGTCTACCCGAGCCAAAAAAAAGCAACACAGTGTCCCGTGAAATTTTTATTCCGTGGTGGCACCTTCCAAGACAAAGTGTTTCCGATGGCGATAGAGTCAACAAACGTTCCGCATTTTCAGTATCGTGTCCAATGTTATGCTCGCTTTCACTATTGCCATACCTTCTATTGCTATCGTTATGCAATTTCTTCCATTTCCAAGGAAAGGAAGCTGCAAAGTGGTCACCTTGCCATTTATCACCGAGCTGCAATTCCCAAACCTCACTATTGTCATCACCTGATCTCAACAAGTCCGAACCGGAACCGCCTCCRAACAAAACCAATCGATTTCGAGTATCATCTAATACAACCGAATGGCCGTGTCGACCACTAGGTCTACTATCTATGCCGTCAGCACCCAAAGAAATTCTACCTTCTCCAATCCAAGTCCACGTTTTGGTGTCCAGAATCGCTTCATTCAATATGGAACAATCAGCTGCAAAAAAAGCAATACAAAAAAAGGACGTAGGCAAATTACCGAGTGCCCGTTACATCATTGAGAAGAAATGAGAGATTTGAACAACCGAAATCCAACCCTTCTCCTTCTTTCCGAAAAAGAGATACACGAATCAAAAGAATACGTACATTTCATTCCACCGAGGACAACAAGATATCGATCTAGTAACAGTGTTGAGGAGTGATATGCTCGAGARAGAAAGTACCGTTCTGGAGACCCTTCAACGTCGTGATCTCCCGATATCACTCCAGTAGTGGAAATGTTCGACCAATCGCATTTGAACTGTTGATCCCACTGCCATTCCATGTCGATTGCGTGCTCTTCACTTTCATCGCCTTCATTGTCGTGTTTTGGTTCACGCTCCCTCTTTCCTCGTCGGTGTCGCCTTCGCGCATGTGCTTCTTGCGTCAGCGTCAGCATGGATACTTGTGATGTTTCCCCCGAGTAACCTCCAGCTCTAAACCCACCGAATCGAATAGCACGCATCCGGACAGTTAGCCTAGGCTGACACTCTCCGTTCGTGGTCATGGAGTACTCTGTTGGCAGGGCAGTCAGCGTTGCACCATAGACAAAGCTACTACCAGATCTAGGTTCCAATCGCTTTACACTCCAACGATGGAGTCGACGTTCGGAATTTCGAGGATTGTCTTCTAAAATTCCTGTTCCTGCATTAATGATGTCTATGGGTTCGGGGAAGAAGAGAAACTTTGGAATGAGCGAGTCCAGCCGCCATCTATGTCTGAAAGTTACTTTCGACAAGAGTTCAGAAACTTACACACTGAATCGTCATCACTGAAACCACCTGTAATCACGACAAAGCGTTCTCGTATTCTTGCTAGTTGTCCTTCTTCCGACGATGACATGGATAAACCATCGACTACCTGATTTGAAATAACTTTTCGCGAAACGACACACGCTACGTGTCCTTCGCGATCTGATATTCCAGAAAATCGTCCATATGGTCGCACCGGATACCACCTCACCCCACCGAAGCTCTTGGTTGGGTTGGCTTTGTGACAATGAAACAAAAATGAATGTTTTGCCCTTCGCCAGTAGCACCCATCAACCTTATCGTCTGCGGCTCGCGGTGTTTGCAATTCTTTCATTCGATGATAGTATGCATAGCAAGATGCGCCATCTCGGTTCGAAAGCATGTCCCAAAAGCTTCCAGACTCTCCCAATGCACTGCATAGCCGTCTATTCACACTAAGCAGGGACAAAACATCTCTTGCGGAGAGATGCAAGGCGACGTTTCCCCAAACTACTTCAGGAAGGAAATCTAGCAGGGTATGGTTTTTTGACGGTGACAACCCTATGCGATGGCATTCGGCAACGTCTGGATCATCGATTGTGTTACTCATATTTTTTTTCTTTCATTTATGGAATACAGGATAGTCCACTTCATTTTGAAGTCCATAGTCAGAATTTTCTGATATTGCCTCAGACTCGGAATTGTTATGTAAATGAACTATGAAAGGGTACAAATGAGCACTGTACAGTACCTTGTACGGTACCGTATTTACGTTACGAATTCTCGTTCTGTACGTACAGGTACGAGTACCTTGTTTGTGTTGCGTTGCGTTGCGTTGATTCAGTACTACTCGCACCCGTACCTCTCCTATCCTATCCTGGTAGGTAAGTAGCAAGTATCGTACATAGAGTTGGTACCGTACGTAAAAATATTATTTTTTATTTTTCTTTGTGTAGATGGATCTAGCTTGGTGATTAACCTAAACTCTAATTATAGATAAGATAGATCTACCGGTACTGTGAAAAATAAAAAATAATGACCTCGCGAACCCCTTGACGCACCGACGATATTTTTAAATGACATCCAAATGTTTAACCCCTAAGAAAAAGATCTCGAAAACGAATTCTAGTGTCACGTGACATCCGGACAGACGATGAGCTTCAATACCAGTAATTCGTGACTTACTCAGTGGAGTTGGTTATGAGAACCGTAACCTGCGTGCTGACACCGAAAAGGATCTTAGGATTTCTTTTTTCATGTGATGGCGCACCTTTTCCTTCTGAAAAGAACTAGTAGTACTTCTACGAAGCATTACGTACAATACCGTACTGAACGTGATTCGTAAGAAGAACTACCGGTAGTTCTCAACCGTACTCGTACTAGCGGACCGGACAGCTGTAACTTGATAGGATATCAATCAACTCAGTCGGGATCGCCATCACCACTACCATCATCACTACGGTACCACCACCGCCCACGCATCTCTTAAACTGACTTGGGTAATACGGTTCACACAACCAATACGAGCTAGATTTCGTTTTATAAAAAAATACCGGACCAGACGCACATCACTGGTCTTCTCAYTACTTTGTCATCACCAAGGGAAGTCTTATTCACTCCGAAACCGTAAAAATGTCAGATACCGGAGCTTCTCTCACCCCAACTACGCTTGCACCTACCGTGGCAGCAGTTGTCGATTCGTTTGACGTGTCTTCCACCGCTGCTTGGATTGTGCTCATTGGCGTTTGCATCTTTTTCACACTCCTTGCCATTGGCTCCATGGACAAACTAGGCTTCCTCGGTGGCCTCAAGGGTATGTGTCTTCTCAACAAGAAAGGGCAGGATGCTCTCACCGTCGATTACTTTTTGAGTGCACGTGACTCTGCAGGTTACTGGAGCATCGCCTTGAGTTTCTTCGCCTCTGGAATGGGCGCTTGGGTGGTCTATGGTACCACTGAGATGGGTGCGAACCCCGCTCTTTCGTGGCTGGGTGTCCTTGGATACAGTGGCGCCTCAGCCTTCCCCGCTATTGTCATCTGTTTCTTGGGACCTTCTATCAAGAAAMTTTCCGGCGAGAACGCCTTTTCGACAAGCGACTTCGGACGGAAGCGCTACGGCCGTCTCATGCAACTCGCRATTTCGGCGGTTTCCGTCTTCTACATGTTCATTTACATGGTAGCGGAATTGACTAGTATTTCGAATATCTTTGCTTTGTTGACCGGCAACACCAACTCAGCCTTCTCTATTGGTGTCACATGCGTGATTGGCATTTTTACCCTATTGTATACGGGAATTGCCGGATTGCCCTCCTCAATCGTCACCGATCGATTCCAGGGTCTCATCATGGCTATGTTGGTCATTATCCTAACCGTTGCGGTCTGTAGCTTCGATGAAAACAAAGTCACTCGAGAGGAATTCAAGCTGGCATCTTCTTGGACGGTTGAGGGCTTCATGGCAATGGTTACTCTGATCATCGCAATTTTGTGTGCCGAACTTTTCAATCAGGCAAGCTGGCAGCGAGTCTGGGCCGCCGAGAGTGTCCCAGCGATGAGAAAGGTGAGTATTTTTCTCTTAGTCTCGTCGTCGGTGTCATTATTATACCAATATAATCCATCGTCGAAAAACGTTCTCATTCATCTCACATCTCTTTCTCTAATTCACACATCGAACTCATTTACGTCAATCATCTACACAGGGTTTCGCCCTTGGAAGCTTCTTTGTGTTTCTGTTGATGATGTTCTTTGGCATTATGGGAATGATTGCCTACGCCAACGATCCCGCATCGTACGACAGCTTTGATAAATTCGCCTTCCTCTCCTTTTTTGATTTGCTGCTGCCCCTCGGAAACGGTTGGCATATTGTTGTTTTGATTTTTGTCACCGCGCTGGCAGCTTCTTCGCTCGATTCGCTCCAAAACGGACTCAACTCCATCTTCTACCGAGATGCATTGCGTGCGGGGTGCAATGCCCACGCCACCGCCTCTGTTCTGGTGTTGTTGATGAACATTCCAGCCATCTGGTTGGCATCGAAGGGAATTTCGGTCATTGCGTTGTTTTTGGTGGCTGATTTGGTTTGTGCCACCGCCGTCTTCCCAACCTTCCTGGGATTGCAGGAAACCGACAAGCTCGGCGGTTTGTTGCCAGCCCCTACCGAATTAGGTGCCTTCCTTGGATTCCTTTCCGGAATCGCTACCGTATTGGTTAATGGTGCCATTAATGGGCAGAATCCTTTCCAATACTTCTGGCTCCGAAATGGCGGCATCTGTGCTCTGTGCGGTTCTGAGACAATGATTACTTTCATTGTCACTCCGTTGGTGGCAGGAATCATGACATATGTCTTCACTCACTTGGATCTTTGTGTTCGTGGCAAAGAAAATGCCAGACGTTCGGTCATCAATTTTGCCTTTGACAAAGATGATTTGGACGACGATGCTGCCGAAAGCGGCGATGTCGATATCGAAAAGCCTGCCGAGGAGGATGGCGAAAAGCCGCCAGAGGAGAAGGCGGTCCCCGAGAAGAAGGAAGCCGCGGTCGAGACCGTGGAGATGGAGGCCTAGTCAGGATGGCACGCTAGTCTCGCGACCTTGTGTCGAGTTGGCTMTTTCGTTTGTTTCACAACGATCTTCATTGTTTGTTTGCGGGAGCGCAGCTGAGATCCAATAATATGCAACTCTGTCTCGTGATGTTGTAAAATATTATGGAAAACCGCTTGAACCTGATCATGGTAATTCATGCGTGAGGGAAGAACAAAACAATCACGAAGACCCTGAATTTTATTTGTTTGTGTTTGTTTCATGTTATGGTTGATTAAAAGGAGCAAGAATTGCTTTCCACTTTATCTGGTGGTGGTGATTTGATGAAACTAAGGAATATGCATCATCATAATCCCAGTTCATATTTATCGGGAAGTCCTGTTTTGATCAAAAACAGAATGAATTCTTGAGAAGAGAATTTCCACTGATATACTAGAGATATAGAAGAAAGTAAATTCCACCCTTTATAACATCAATCATTGATTTGCAAGTAATCCTGTTTTATTTTGAGAAGGGTTTTCTCACGAAGGTTAAGAGCAGACTTCGGAACAAAGTTAACTCTGTCACAGTAAAGATCCTTTGTATGATGTCAAGACCCTTTTTGATCCTTTCAGCAGATCTTCCTTAATTTCGTAACCGCAAGAGTACAGTACGTAACCGTTGAGCAGCTCAACATTTCCATGTACTCAGCTCGCGTGGTATTTTTTAGGTACACGATTTGTTGAGTAGATCGCGCCGTACAAACACTAGTTATTTTTTGCCAAAGTACATGCACCTCAACTGGTTACAAACCGCGCGGACTGAATTTTGTAACCAGAATTTGTAACCAAACCCTTTCCTAAGGAGAGCCCATATTTTTTACACGATACTACTGCTAGTCTGGTTACAAAAAAAAAGGGTCTGGTTACAAAAACAGGCGCACTGGTTCCCTTGTGCGCGCATGTAACCAGGCAAACGCACCTCAACAGGTACAAACTAAAAACTGTCTTCACTACTGTAAATACGGAATAGTATCAGTACCAGTAGTACACAGTAAAGTATCTTGAACGAGGAGTACTAAATTCAGCGAAAAACTCATCTCAATTGCTATTCCAGTACAAACTCGTGTAGAAAACACCGTAGAAATATTGATTTGCAGGGGGAAACAAGCAAAACACCAACCAGCAGAGGAACGCCGTATCGTATCAGCAACTCGTATTGGCAACTCGTATCAGCGTCCTCCATATCAACGACTCGTATCAGCGACTCGTATCAGCGTCCTCCGTATCAGCGTCCTCCGTATCAGCGTCCTCCGTATCAGCGTCCTCCGTATCAGCGTCCTCCGTATCGTATCAGCGGCTCCTCCGTATCGTATCAGCGGCTCGCTCCTCCGTATCGTATCAGCAACTCGTATCGTATCAGCGCTGGCTCCTCCGTATCGTATCAGTGCTGGCTCTTCCGTAGTATCGTATCAGCGCTGGCTCTTCCGTAGTATCGTATCAGCGCTGCTGAGGACTCCTCCGTATCAGCAATTTGCTGAGTACATGGAAATGTTGAGCTGCTCAACGGTTACGTAAATAACTGTGGAAGAGCTCCGCTTCAGCCCAACAAGTATCTTCAACAAGCTCTCGAGCTTGTTGAAGATACTTGCAGTAACCTCACTTCGGTCTCGAGCAAGCTCTCGACCTCAGTGATGTTACTAGTGTACCCAAATCGTACCAGAAAATGTACTCTGTTGAGCTTCGTGTTATTATCGCGAGAAGAGTTTTTGTACCGTGGCTTCTCGAGCTAGCTCTCGAACCCACGGTACAAAAACTCTTCTCGCGATAACACGAAGCTCAACAGAGTACATTTTCTGGTACGATTTGGGTACACGCGCTGCGCGAGCTCCTCCACAGTTATATAACATACCAGTACGTAGTAATAAGATATGGAATGGTACGAGTACCGTACCGTAGTGTACCGGTAGGCCCTTTTTCCGAGCAAGACGCCGAAGGACTCAYCAATTTACATTCCTTTTGCAACACATGTCGACACGAGAAAATCTAGAATAGTCTGCACGTTCGAAATTCCTATGCCACTAGTAGTTGAGTAACACAGCATGGCGGGAGGCAAAGAAGAGGGGAGAAGCCACCAGGACTACGAAACGGAACCATCGGCTGCTGCGGGTGACATCGCCAATAATGACAGCAGCAGCAACAACCACGATTCGACCCACCCGGGTGCATCCACGGACCTCATCACAAAGCTGTTGGTCAAACGCGTYGTTGGTTTTTTGGAGCAGAAACCCTCTGATTTCGCGATCACTCTCCTGCCCGATTCGGAACCATCTGTAGCAGGAACCGAAAAAGTAAGGCGGAACGAAAGCCCGGTGCCGGCGTCGGATTCGTTGGCATCTCTWWCTAGCGAGGAGCGCACCCTACTGGAGGCATCTACGGCTTTGATGACGGAACCCAATCGCGATGCACCCTCAAAACATATAGGCCACCTCGGGTTGGACGCGAGACATTTGCCTCAAATTGCCAGAATTCTTCGCACGGCTTACTTCCGGGCCAGAGAAACATTTCGAACGGCATCGTTGGCATCGTCGTCGGCACCGTCTCGTAAAACACCGGCTCGGTATTGGTCGGAAGCGGAAGAACTGTTCCGCATCACGTCGTGCCTATTGCTCATTCAACCGGATCATGTTACGGCATGGGCCGATCGGCGGCGGTGTCTGCTAAGGCTCCAATATCGCGGCGTGAATGCTCTCGATCCCGTGGCCTATGGTTGTGACAACGACGGATGCGTGCAGAGCCAGACCGACGACAGCGAAATTGGAGAAGCACAGAAACAGGCATCGCTAGATCTATGGAATCAAGAGCTGGATTACCTGGACCTTCTCGTGACACAGCACTCAAAGGCGTAAGTGCTTTTTGTGAAGTTGGAAACCGCATCTCTGCCTTCTTTGTGAGCGATTGCACCGCAATGTTTTCCAACCCGTCTGTGTTTTGATGCGATGCACCACACCAACCGAAACCAATCACAGGCCTTCGTCGTGGAGCCACCGAAAGTATGTTCTGCGGCATTTGYTTCGAGGCATCCAAAAATCCTCCCAACCCCCGAACAAAACCAAGGAAGAGTTGTTCTCTCGGGAAGTTCGGACTTGCACCGAAGTGGCGGAAAAATTCCCGAAAAATTATTACGCGTGGACGCACCGGAGGAACTTGTGGGATTTGTTTGCTTTCGACGAAATGGACACGGGCAACGGAGCCGACGGGGGAGATGCCGAGCAACCCGTGGGCAGCGAAAGGAAACGGGAAATGCAGCAACAAGAAGGGAAGAAAAGGCACCAACGATACACAGAGCTCCTGGAAACCGAATTGGTGGTTGGATTGTGGCAGGATTGGTTGCCGAAGCACCCGGCCGACCATTCGGCGGTCCACTACTCGTGCCAGGTTCTCGACTTGGTCCTCGGGGCCATTGCGGCAATGCCAACGGAAGGGACTGGTGAGCGGGACGCCAGGATCGAATCGATTTCGATTGCGGCCCTCGAGACGGTCCGGTCGCTCCTGTCGAAGCATTCCTCCAACGACTACGAGAGCCTCTGGATCCTCCGCCGTCTCACCTGTAAGACGTTGTGGGAACGCCAGCCGTGCCGCCCCGTGGAAGAAGAGCGGACGGCCGCTGCGGAGACCCCGGGCCGTCGCCTGGTGAGGGACGACCTGGCACTGGTTCTTTCGTCCACCCTTGGCGCGAACGGCGACAAACRGCCGCCGCTCGAAGAASCACAGCGACAGGCGGGCCCGAGCGGCGCCGTCGAAGGAACTCCCATCGACGACAAGAACGWTTCTRTGCACGCCTGGACGTTTCTGGCGTGGTGCCTYGGGAATCTAAGCGGAATTWACGAAAGGGACGACGAACACGTCTTTACCAAATGCGTCGGGGCGGCCATCTCGGGGCACCTGACGGCAACGGCACAAGGAAGAGCAACGAGCACACCGCAACACAATGTCCTAATGTATACATCTGCATCGTCGCCGCTATTGGAGATGCTGAAGGAGGGAACGGTATAAACACAYCCACTCATAGAATATTGTTGTATCAAACTGAATTGTAGTCTGGGGTTTCCYYTATGTTTCGTGGAATCAAAGCATTGGTCCGGTGGATGGCATTGTAATGCATCGTGCATCGATGGCAACAGAGTGGAACAAGAGGGTTTTGCATAGCGTAGCGTAGCGTGGTGCGGAACCGAACGGCCTCCGTGTCCGAACGGCGGCACCGGTGGCGGCGTCCTTTCTCACTCGCCGGAAGCAGCTTGAGCGGCCGACGCGTCGACCTCGAGCACAAAGTGGCGCGATCGCTTCTCGCGTTCGTCCCCCCCGCACGCCGGTGCGGAAGAAAACGACGACGMCGCCGCCGTTGCCACCAGGGGCCGGTCCATGGCCCCCGCGACGGCGGCCCTCGCCGCCCGGACCGCCAGCGGGCCGTTGGACATGGASAGGGGGCCGCAGCCCGGGAGGCCACGGATGGACAGCGAGAGGACCGAGTCGAGGACGACGGAGCCCCCCGTGGTTTCCTTGTCGTCGTGGGTGGTGACGCCGAGGCCCTTTGCGACGGAAGCGGGCCCGGGGGGGGAGGTCCCAAAGCCCCCCACCACCATGTTGAGGACGCGTATTTTTTTGCGTTTCGTGTTTGTGKATTTGTTGTTGTTGTTGCTGCTGTTGTTGGTGGTGTTGGTGTTGTTGCTGCTGTGCACAATCTCCCTCAGCCCATTGTAGCCGGCCCAATCGAAAATCCCGCCGTCGATCAGCAGCGAGTAATCGACGCTCCCGTCGCCGTCGCCGCCGCGGTGTTCCACCCACCCCACGGGCTGGAAGAGCCCCGGAAAACACGCCGAGGCCCGGGCCGCGCGCGCCATCGATCCCCTCGTGAGGATCTTGGGGGTCGGGAGAAAGGCCTCGGCCACCCACCGGAGGGGCCCGCGCGCCGCCGCCGCCGTGGCGTTGGAGGGGCCGGTCCGGACCCTCGGGAGGACGTCCACCGCCGACACCGCCACCGGGACGAGGGAGTCCTCCAGTTCCAGCCACGGGAACCGGCGGCGGTCTCTCCTTCCCCCGGCCCCGGCGATGGGCGAGGCCTCGGCCAKAAAGGCCTCCATGATGGATTCGAAGCGGTCCCCCCGGAGGACGCCGCCCAGGCCGCCGGGATCGGCAAAGTCCGACAGGCCCAGGTCCGAGACAAAGGAGGCCGCCTTGCCCGGAGCGATCCCGGCGGCCAGCAGGACGGCGGCCATGGCACCGGCGGAGGCGCCCGCCACCCCGCTCAGGACCCCCCGGTCGACCAGCAGGGACGAGGAAGCGGGGGGGCCGCCCCCGCCGCCGCTCCSAAAGAGCGCGTCCTCCATTCCCTCCAGCGCGCCAAAGTAGCCGTAGAACCCAAAGAACGCGGGGCCCATGGCGAGGTAGACGTCTGCGTCGTCGTCSTCGTCGTCGTCGCTGTTGTTGTCCTTGTTGCTGCCGGGATACAGGAACTCTCGGAGCGTCGTGGTGGCGGAACCGGGACAGGTAGCAGTTGTGGGATCGTCGGCCCGGGGAGGGGATTCCGATGCGAGGGCCGCAGCCGCCGGCGGTGCAAGAAAGACCAGCGGCAGGAGAAGGAGGGCCAGCGGGAAGTGCGGCACCGCACGGCGGGCGGCAGAACTCGTTGTTCCTGCCATTCTCGGTTCGGTAGGTACGTCCCGTWGTTCYGTCTTTTCTGTTTCCTTTTGGTCGGCTCTCTCGTTGGCGGCAAAGACCATCACAGGGTACGTACCGATTGTGCACCGTACGGCTTGGTACMGGAGGTACGGTAGGGCACGGAGGGAAATAAATGCCGATGTTTTCTACGACGGGTAGGAGAATTTTCTCAAAAACTCGGGGAAAAATCATCGTAGTACGTACGTACCGGACAGCTACGAGTAGAAACTACGTACGAACTATGTATGTAGTATGTAGCGTACACAAATTAGTATCGTAATTATTGTATGTA